CTTAGAAAGATTAGAAGAGGAGCTTTTTAAACCTACCAATTAAAAAATACTAAAAATTTACTATTTTGCTCAAACGAAAAATTTCTAAAAAATTATCTATTATTATTTAGGTCTTCAAGATTAGTATTGAAGAGATAATCTTTGTTTTTAGTATAGGCATTGCATAGAATCCCTTGGCAATATACATATACATATAATGCCTGACGTTTTTGGGCAAAGTATGATACGAGTAATATTTCACACATTTCCTAGGCATTTTATGCAATGCCAAAAGATAAACCAGCAAAGTATAAAATACTCCCGCTAATGACGTTTCTAATATCACCTGGTATTTTCTTTTTTCATTTATGTTTTTCTTTAATGAAGAAGGTCTTCATGACTTTCTTTTCAAGTTTTACTTTTTTTGTAAGAAAGACAATTAAATGCAATTCTAAATTAAATTCTTTCCTTTCTTGTTGCAACAAGTAGGTTCATATTTTATTTTCTCTTATTTTCCTCAATAAGAAAGTCTTATACTTTATTTTGTACTTCTTTCATGATTCTCTTTTAACACTTTACCTAAATAGTATTTCTCATTCTACAGAATCCCTAGATATTACATACAATGCATACAAAAAGTTTATATAATATTAAAATAATTCGGATATTTCATACTTTGCCCAAAAACGCCAGGCAACCTATACAATGCCTGCTTTTCATACATTGCCGGTAACATACATATTATTTTTTAGAAAAGCGTTAAGAATGAATGGTAGTTACATACACTTACGATTAAATAAGGTTTTCCTAAGGAAAATGGCGATATAGGAAAAGCAAATATTCTCAAAATCCTAATTTGAAGTAATAATAGATTAACAAAATTTAATTAGAAGTATTTAATTCTAAAAAAATACAATCGCTCTGTAATGGTTCATGTTAGCTTGTGATATAATTACCCATTATAGTTACCCATTTAGTATTATTTATACTATTATTAAGTTATTATATAAACAAAATGATATACAAAACGAGTAATAATAATAATTATGAATTATTAAAGAGAAGTGAAAAATTTTAATCAATGGATTTATTAAAAGACAGAGATTTGCTCAATATTTACTTGCTCAACAAATGTAATCAAATAATAAGTACATTATCATTTATTTGAAAAAACATATACTATCTCAACAATATTATGTATAACCACACGTAATTTAAATTTAAATTTAGAGATTATATTACATGGTCAGTAAACTGCCAAAGAATTCGCATTCCAAACTTTACCATGCCGATGCAATAAAGTTCAGACGATATATTTAGTCTCTCTAAAATGAAATTCTCATAAAAATTTAACGGAACTATAAACTTACTTCGCTTTTCCATTATACGACACATTACAACAGTAATTACAACCCAGTACTATTTCATATCGTGAATAGAGTGTAATGGAATGTTTGTTTTGGAACATTTGATAAATGGTAGAAAAATTAAAATGTTCATCCATGTTGTTCAATTAATTGTCATATCATGGGTATATTATATATGTACATTCACGATTTCATTGAAAAACAAAGGCATTGATATGCATTTGTACTGCACTTGGATCTTGTGGAAAATTCCAACTGACTAATCTATTCCGCCTTAACTATCTCAAGACATAAATATATTACATCTGTATCTACAACATTTTCTTTATCGACTATGTTGTGAAATATATTTAACTTTATTTTTCGCATCTAACGACGAGTCAAATGAATTTTATATTAACTAAAAACTAAAATTAACTTAAATAAACAATACAAAAATATTAATTCTTCAGTTTATATTTTCAAAACTTTGTAGTATTAGAAAATTATATTTATTTGTCACAGATAAAGCTATAAAGTTAAACAAATAAGTCTGAAGAGGACCATAATTTTTATTAAAATGTTATTAAAAGAAGAATAGTGTTCCTTTTATTCCTAATATTAACACTATTTATATAAAATTAGAAAAAAGATAAAATAATTTTCTAAGCTTACACAAATGACAAATAACTAAACATCAAGAACCGTTTCAATGTCTTTTTATTTTTCGTGTTATAATTTTTTTGCAAATTTTACATATTATGCAATTTTTCTTCAAATCAATTTCCAAGATACAAAAAAAATTTTTTATTGTTTGAAACTGTATTTTCGGGTCAAAATTAAAAACCAAATCATGCTACGGGGGGGTGAATAATATAAAGTTCTAAGTTTAGAAACACAGCACCGCAAAATACTAATCAAACTTCAAATAATCGTCACTTAAAGATTCCTGTCTTCAATTAACACCACATAAATCTAACACCAAATTTCACCGGTATTTCCAGAAATCCATCAAATTTTATCAAGGCACAAAGAGATCCACAGGATTCATCGCGTACAATGATCCTCTGCTTCTGAACAACATCCCGCTAGTTTGTGGAATTTAATTAATCCAACTGGTCGAATTGAACCAAACCTCGACTCTGTTTTAATTAACGTTATCCAATCCTTAAGATCTGGAAACAACGAACGATAGATTCGTCTCTGTTATTCGTCTAGAATGCCATGGAGAAAATTAAAAGCTGCTCGCAGCTGTTGTAAACCGAGTAAAGAGTAGAGCGTGTATCGCGCGTAGACGAAAATCAAACAGCGATGGAACGGCGAGCACGTGCAATTTTATCTATAGATCCACGGATTACGGAAACGCGGTTGAAACCAGAGCAAAATGTTGGCCAGCGCTGGCACAGATTCGTTCAGCCAACGTACAAATTTATGCTTTACTACAAAGCAACGTTGGCTAGGTTAGTCTAGCTAACTTTTGGCCACTGGCCACGCCAACTGCCTCCTGTTAGAACCACTGTTTCGAATCTTTCTTTCTGTTTCAAATGACTACGGATGTTTGTGTATCTTGTTAGATAATTAGTACAAATTGCGATCGCAATGATGGTATGAGTTTTTAATTGGAGTTTCTGTCATGACTCAATAGATTAAAGGAGATTTTGTTAAGAGGACAATAGTTGAAAATTTGGGCGTGACCACCCCTGTCGGCAGACTAGAGATTACGTCGGAGCCTGCGTAGACGCGAAATAGCTGTAATAGCGTGGAAGAAGGTTCGTTGACCTGTTTTCATCGTGATAGATGCAATTACCAAGACACGCCAGGCCGTGCGAATTCTCGTGCACTTTATTAGATAGAATGATATTGGGATCTATTACTTCATCAAGAGGACCAAACAATAAAAAACCAATTCTTATTTTTCATTATTTTTAGCTTAAGACTATTTTTGTTATTTTTCAATAGAACAAATCACACATTTCTTACCTATATAAAAATCAAAGTTCAAATGATTAAATCTTCTTTATTTTAAATGAAATATGAATAGATCCGTTTAACTCCTATACAATTAAAAATAAAGAAAAATAGAGAATGATAATTCAACGTTCATGTCAAGCAAAAATTGTATCCAAAAACTAACTTCTGGACTCCAGTATATTGTCACACTTTCCAAATTTTAGAGAATAAATCAAAAGTGCAAAAATCTTGTAATTTTGAAATCATTAAAGACATGTATGTAATTTTATTGTTTAAAAGTGAAATAATGTACTGGAGAACGGTGGACTTAATATCAACATATCTTGACTCAATACTGCCTAGTTCCAATTTTGTATCTTTTCTTGTGTGACTTAATAATACTATAAACCTGGACAAAGTGTTATATGGTTCTGACGTATCTTTTGAAGGAGGTATCAAATCCAAAATTATTTTAACCTAACACTGGATTTCAAATTATTTGACTCTGAAATTTTTTATAAACTAGTATCAAAAGCCCCTTTTAGACTGTTTGGCACGGAACAAAATATGGACTTAATATTATTTTTACATTATTATATTAAAAATTAAGCGACTAGATCAAAATAATTTTCGTCATCAGAAAGAGTGAAAAGTGGTCTTATACTCTGGCTCTGGGATCTAGATTTATATTTTGAAAAGAAATAGACTTGGATTAATTTGACTCTTATTGTTAGATAGAGATTTAAAATTTGTATTTATCCTAAGTAAAATGTCACTTATTAATTTCGTAACAGAATCCTCATTTTTATTCTTATTCGAACATCAACCTTAATTACCTATAAAAAAAATTTCCAAATTTCACCTATTTCCAGATACTCCAAAGTAGTGTAAATCATCTTATAAATATCTTCGAAAATAAGTTTCTAGAACGACCATTTTCTTGTCAGTAGAATTATTGAGCAATCAGCTGTTGGTCAGTGATGAACGTTATCGATACAGGGTCAATTGCTCAGGGGAAATGGTCAATAAAGGTAGTTTCACTAGGGAAAGAGGAAGGTAACTGATCGTTCCATTGTCAGCCCCAATATCGGTGACCTCTCGTCACTTAAGCAATCAGTTAATCTACAGGAACATCATCTGTACACGACATGTTCGTTCGAAGTCGAACTAGAACTAATAAATACGCCTTTGTAATCAATTCTTATATAACAATCTACAGTGATCATGGAGCGTAAAATTATATCCGGTTCGTCGTGATGAACGATAAATCTTAACGACTCATTGATCGACAATTTGTGATATGAATCTTAACGCATCGCTAACGAAGATGAAAATGTCAATAAATTCAGATAGATATGCGTAACATATAAATATTTATTCGCTATGTATTTCATTTACAGCTTAACTCTTCGCTGCTTAATTTTTGTTATTAAAAAAATATATAGCTTTTAATAATACAATATGCTTCTCTATTTCAGAAATTTGTATAAAGAAAAATTGTATAATATTGAAAATTTTCACTATTATGTGAAAGAATTTGTAGTCCCAAATGTTTAAAAACATACAAGAATTTGATAGCAACACAATGCAATGGAGGTCCAACAATAAGTGCAGAGAAAATTACATTATTTTGAAAAAAAAAAAATTACAAAAGACAATTGTAGTATATTTGATATAAGTAGTATACCAAATTTAAATAAAAAAGATGGTAACTGTTTGACTTACCGTTTATTAATGGTAAAGTCTGGCTCATAGTTATGTCTTGTAACGGCAAATTTGTGCTGAAACAAAAAAATAATAGAAGCGTAAATTAAGTATTATAAAATAAAATTCCTCGTGTGATTATTAATAATTAATAATTAATAGAGATTAATTATTAGATTTAAAACTAATAGTTTTGTTAAATTAAAAATATAAAAAATATCTTGTAATAAAAATGCTATGACTAAATAATTAATATTAGAATATATAGAATAAAATATTAATATTTTATTTTATCGTTCAAAATACATAACCATATGACATGACTACGTACACTAATTTTCAATATGGCAATCAACCTGTCAAAAGAGACAATAAATTGTCTTTTCTTGCAACTTTCATATACATAGATATTTTGCATATTTTTATATGTTATAATAACATAAACATCCGCAGACTAATGATTACAAATTTTCTGGATTCAAAAATCAAACATAAGATAACATGTGTTCATTATGTTGCTGAGTAAGGGCAGACATTTTTTGTTCATATTTGTTCGAGGTCTATAATGAAAGGACGGTATTTGACTATAGCTCAAAGACCGTTTATTTTTGGAATACGGCCGAAAATGGAGCGAAGGCACGTGGTGCCTCCTGATTCCACAGGAAATAGACTCAACGAACTAGACCGAATTAGATGAAACTTTTAAAAAGGATCAAGATGAAGGCTAACTTCTATTTCCAGAACGACGCTCGATTAGGAGCAAAACATCCTGTGTACTAAGGACGAAGTTCGGGCATACGTTAAGGATTAATCAGCTGAATCAATGGGGATTTAAATAATCCAGAGAATTCTAGTGGAATCTCCTACCAGACTTAGTAAAATAAAAAACGAATTGTTGTGTGTGGTTTGTTTCAAAAATGATATGATTGATTTATTAAAAATTTGTATTGTGAATTTCTCTGATAACAATGAGGAAAATTGCAACTTAATCCTTGAATCTTTAAATGAGTTTAAAATGAAATTATAGGGAATAATAAATATACAAAAATATAGAACATCAACCGTAACTATTCTGTTTTTATTCAAATGACTTCATAAGAATTGGTAAACTAACATAGAAAGCCTCATAGAATTTAATGACATAAAAGTACATTACTATACAATAATACATACGCCATGTTAATTTAAAGCCTAAATTGTGAAAAAAAATAGTAAAAGGCAATTTTTTAACTTTTTTATTTGAGCCTGTAATTGAAATTTAAAATATGACATTTGTAAATTTAAGTATGTATGTTATGTGTATGCTGAAAATCGCAATTTTCGAAAATTTTAATTACTTGTAACTTCTATAAGTGCATTGACCCATCTCGATGAAATTTTCAGCATACACATAACTTATTTGAATCTACGAAGAACATATATTTTACATTTTCATTATAGGCTCACATCAAAAAGTTGAAAAATTACCCTTCATTATTTTTTTTTCATGATTTCAGTAAATTGTAATTTTTTAAAACAGCAAAAGTACATATCTTAGTAAATTAATTTTTATAGCTTCTCAAAAAAACTTCGTCATTTGGTCCAGTTTTATTATAAATGAGGTATTCTATTTTAAACGGTGTGCGAATACTTTTGCGCCCCACTGTATTTACATTTGTACAGAGATGGCTGTATCGGTATTAAACTAACGTCGATAATCTCACAAAGACGAATTCAGTAATCTATATATTATAATGACTAAATAGTTTTTCGTATTCGTTGACAGTTTTTGATAAAATTAAAAACTTCACTCAGGATATTCTGCAACGAAGGCTATTAGCAATTTAATAAAATATTTGAAGTAAGTACATTTAATGAACGCGCAATATGATAAGACCTCTGGATCTTGACATGATTTTTATAAAAGTTTATATAATTTTGAAGTCGAGGTAACTTAGTACATAAATGAAATTATCACTGTATAGGAGCGTTTTCTAACGAAAACTGCCGTGATGAAAGGGTTAACAACGACCCAGATTTCGATTTCAATGGTCATCGTTTGAACGAACGATGGCTTAACGTAATGTAAAACTGTTTGGATGACATGCCAGTGATGTATAGTAGTGAACCACGTGAAAGCACGGGTAAAAGCAATAAGGAAATGCAGTATTTCCAGAAAGGTTTAATATAGATTTCATCCAAATGCTATTCCTGCCGGCCGGTGTTGAAACGTAAAATGAGTAATTAACGGATAACGTTCCTCCAGCGTGTTGTCGCGAATCTTAACAAGTTCTAAGAGTTCTACTATTATTCGCCACCGCACCGTGCTGTCTGGAAAAGCCGACAGCACTGGCTTCTAGTGCTTAGAAACTTGCTTCAAACATGGACCAGCTGCTTAAAGATTCATAGAAGTTAATGATTTTGTTGAAATTCTGAAGTTTAAAAAAGAGTGCTTTAAAATTAAAACTAAAAATAGAGACGCAATGTATAAAATCATGTTGGCAAATCTAATTTATTTTAATTTCAAAAACCCTTTGATAGATGTATAAATTAATTTAATGCAATTTCTTTTTTTTCTTTAATCGAACTCTAATTATTAAAATAATCGTTATCTTTATCATATTATCCCGCCACTTTACAATTCCACAGAGACGCGGGAAAATATCCAAATTTGAAATAATGATTAAATAGCCGTAATACTAGAGGCATCGAAAATTTTTGAGAACAGTTAGATAATTTAAATATTAAAGAAAAATACACAGTAATAAATAGAAGAATATCACATAGATAAAAAGAACATGCAGTATAAAAGAATTATTAAAATAATTAACAATATTACAAAATGAATAATTTTAAACGATAACTGTATTATTCTAAAAGCGTCCAACAAACTTTTAAGAAATTAATCCATATGCATTATTAGAAGATTTGAAAAATGTGTTCATATCACTACTTTTTTTTTATTCAAGATGACATCAAATATAACAAAACGGATCAAAAACATACAATTTTTGTACTTCTATTGATTTTCGATGAGAAATAGCGATCTAAAAAATTTTGTTATGCATCCGAATACAATAGTATTAAATTTTTCTTCATTTATATATTAATTATTATTATTATCATTACTGTATCTTATTAAAGGTAATAATCTGGCGCACGGAACGAATAGGTATATCAAATTCCTGATGCAAATGAATTAATAAAACTGTAAATTTTTATTTCTTTTTTCTAAATAATCAGAATATTGTATCCTTTTAAATTTCATAATACGTACGAATTTAGGAATCATGCACCTAAAGTTTCAATAAAATAAATATCAACAGAAATTTCAATAGAATGGAAAATATGAACTAACTGAAATAAGCAACCATGATCAACTAAAGTCTGTAATTTTTAACAGAGCCGCCCCAAAGCACCGGTCGAACGGAGCACTTGCCCCACATTTAAAATGCTTTCAAAACTATTAAATTTATTATCAAATTTCACAGTATACATATAACAAGTACAAAATATTCGTGTTATCTTTAATTTTACAGTTATGTGTACCTCATTGAATACTTTCAGTAATCTCGACTTTCATTCCGGGCTCTGCAATATCTAACGACAGCTCCGATTTTAAATGCTTCGTAGCTTGTAAAAATATAAATGTTTCGAAGTCCTTCGCTATTTATATTGCAAATCTGCTACATAAAATAATATACTATGACATAGGTAATTAAACTGTGGTCCACGGACCCCTGGGGGTCCGCGTAACCATTACCAGGGGTGCGCGAAATTATAAAAAATGGTTGCAAACAGTTGAAGCAGACAATGAAAAGGCAAGAAGAGCGGAGCAATAAAAAATATATTTTTAAGGTAGTAAATAAAACACGAACTTATTATATTCTGTGATTTTTATGTATTTCTTTTTATTTTTATATCATATTGCTTAAAAATTATTATTTGTATTTTTCTCAGAAGTCGACTTTTTTCCAGGTTTCTATATTTTATATAACTAATAAACATTGTACGAAAAAGATGTTGTTCAAGAGGGGGTCCTCGGACTACATAAGTTTAAGAACCCCTGTACTATGATATTCTTGTGTTTCCAACCTTTTCCAACTATAAATTTTGTCTTACATAACGTTACAATTTTTTTTTAAATAAATTTCTAAATGAGAAAAATATCTTATATCGTTTAAAGCTGTTTCTTTTTAAAATGACAGAAAAAAACTTAGCAAAGAAGGATTAATGAATATTATTTTTAACAAAGTTTCATAATTGAATTAACCACTTCGTCCTCAACAATTTAACAGTTATCTAAAGTATTACATCCCTCTTGTACTTCTTGTTAAAAATATAATTTCCTTTTCTTGAACCCCCAAAACAAAAACTCGCTCAAATAATTACCAGAACTCTTTGAACGTATCATTAACCTTTGTTATCCTTCGTCACTCTTCAAAAGACGAGGGCTACCAATTTTTCTTTTAGCACGGTCTATTTAAAAAACTGCAAGACCAACGTAATTCCGTTCACCTCGCCAATGGGAGACACAAATCGCTATAACCATGGGTGTCCTCTCCTCTTTTCAACTGCACCCCAACATCCGACTCTGATATATTAAGCACAACCCTTACGTCCACGTTTAACTAATCCAGATCCAGACTTCTGAGAATCTTCGGACGCCTCAGAAGTCTTCCGAACCGGAACGAACACGGAGGAAAAGCGAAAGGATGACACCGACGTTCATATTATTATTGTGAACTTTATGCGACAGATAACGATAACTCAAAATAGCCAATTTTCAGACAATAGAACGTAAATTTACAAATTCTATTTGACGGAGTCTTTCTCGATACATGTATGTACATTTCTTATAAACTTACATGGCTAATATTTACAAATTTAAGGGACACAATTCTCTTTCTGAGTTACTAAAGCTGAGGATTGAAACATGAAAATCATTGATAACCAATCTTGACATAAATGTAAGTACCATAAAATAACATTTGTGGCATACCATTTTTAAGTTTAAGGGTTGTTGAAAATGGCATTGTTGCACATTAAATGGCAGATTTTGAAACCTAGGAAGTTTCACATGATTTGATGACAGAAA